ATAATGCGCTTTTCTTAGTAAGTAGATCTCAAATTATTTAACGTAAAAACGTTACTCCATAAAATAATGATTCCAATATACTAATGAGTAGGAACTTTTAAAGAATCTCTATGTCAATGAATGACGAAACATTTAACCTGGTTAGTAGCAGGTCCAATTACGTACTAAGTAGCGATAATAATTAATTCCTATACTTGTCAGGCCGGGCACGCACTGCCACCCGGTTAAGGACATCGCTTTCCCACTTACATCAGCAGCGCTTGACTAGGGAACGTGACATAATACTTGCGTAAGCCATCGGAATGTGATTATAGGTAGAGCAGACATTTTTAAGGGTAGTTTTATCGGTACCTTTGTACTTACGAGTATTAGTAAGTACAAGTAAGTAATATTTGTACGCAAATACAATAAATAAAATGTTTGTTGGCAACCAAAGCTAGTGGGTACAAAGTACACCGCTTTAAGCAGGAACATAGGATCAACTATAATTAATTTCTCTCAGCTTTTTATCTCAGGCTTATTGACTTGAGTACCAAGTCGAATTTGAAAACAACAGATGCAATTAGCCGAGCAAGCCCGCATCGCAAGTAACACAGGAAAGTAGCCTCAGACATTCGAAAAGACAATGGCGGCCGTGACTACTGACTGTTGGCCTCAGACATTGACGAAAGGCTCGCTAGTCACCAGTAGCGGTGTTCATATTAAATTTATTGCTTAGACGTTGCATTAAAAGCTTTGTTCAGCGCCGGTCGATAATTAAAGGTATCTAACCTACCTATCCTACCTAACTACTTTCGTAAACTAGTAAGTAATACTTGTCTTTGAAATCTTGGTATAACTTTGAAAATGTTAACGTAAATTTTCACAGTGATCGAAAGTCTAAGCGATAGATATTTAGGTTAAATATTTGTATATTATAAGTCCCAAAGATACAAATTGAGTTACCTATAGGTATAGACACTACTCGAATACGTAGCACCAGTAGAGGTTCTTAAGAGTTCGTCCAAAGAAGTACTGCTGTCCACTAACTAAAAGCGGCTAAGTGATAAATGGTCAAATATACGTTTTAAATAGCTAAGGATAGAGCACAAACTTCTCTTTTAAAACAGTTAATGTGTTCGAGTTATCGGAATTTACCCGAACGATGCATAGCTGAGATATCATTAAATAATTTCATGGTATTTATGATATCTCAAAGAATTATTTTGTCACTGCCGCATTTTAGTTAGCTGACGGCAGAGTAGGTACTGCCACTTTACTTATGTCTGAAGCTAAGCGGTAATGAGAGCTATGAGCTAGGGCGCAGTGGCAGGGCCCTTTAGAGCTTCTGTGATTTAAAGCTCTGAGTGGCACTGCAACTGTTATGGACAGGCGTGTCGCTCACCACCGGTCCCACGACTCGTTCGTCTCGTCACATAAAAAGCTCATAGTAATTTTGGAATTATAAAAAAACTCATACCTAGTAACTGCTAACATCATCTCGCCTAGATGGACGCGCGCCCATCTAGGCGCGCCATTTGATTGGTAACAGAATGAATAAAAATATTGTACTATTCATATCAAATGATTTTAGTATAACAATTTGAATGGACGTGAAAATGAACCTGAAAGGAGATAGAGCACTTCGTGATCTCACCAGGTAATCTGTTATACGTATTAACTTCATAATGGACGTTAATAATCAGTTGGCTTGATTAGGATAAGTTGTATTTGGCAGTCCTCACTGCTTATTCTCTGAAATGTTTTACCATACCTACCCCTATACACCTATACACCTTGCTGCATGAAGGAACAACACAAAGGCAGGAACAGGGTTACGTACTTTTCGAAAGACTTTTTCTCTATTCTCGTACTTTAACTTGTTAATTATAATTTCTTAAACCATTTCTTATAGGCGCTCTTTTTAGTTCTGAATCAAAATTCTATTGTCTGTGGTACTCGCTACTGAGCTGAAAAATTTCATTAGTTCTGCAAACAGAACTATAATTAGTATCAAAGTACTGTACGCAGAACTATGACGAGTTTAAAAAAAATAACGTCGTGTTTTGCTAATTAAAATATCAATGCCTCCCTGATTGGTTAAATTGGCCTAAATGTCTAGCAACCGGGTCATAAACCTTTATAAAAATTGGTTAAAATATATGTGGTACTTGGCCACTCCTATTCTATCACTTTGGTTTTTGTTTTATAGCGTTTGTTTGGTTTTCGTCTAAATATATGAAGAGGCTGTATGGCGGAGCCTTTACCTATCCTAATAAACCTAAAGGCGCTACATCATCGAGAACATTCGCATGTAACGTTCAAGATTCGTTTTTGATCACTACATTACAAAACCACCGCCTTCACCGGCGCATTCGCCTGTAATGTAACATCCAAGATTTGATTAGAAGAAAATAAAGATATGCGAGGTAGCAAGGCGTGCGTTTGAGTGCCTCTGAGAATCAGAAGTGCCCGTTAGTGCCTTTGACTGCCAACGAGTGCTAACGAGTGCCTTTGATTGCCCGCGAGTGCCCACGAGTGCATTTTAGTGCTTTTGAGTGCCTTTGAAAGACACTCTCTGGCACACAAAGGCACTCGCGGGCACATAAAGGCAGTCGCGGGCACATAAAGGCAGTCGCGGGCACATAAAGGCACTCGCGGGCACTTAAAGGCATTCGCGGGCACTCGCTGGTATTCGCAGGCATCTAACTTAAGTAAAGACTTGAAAACTTTTCTACTAAATCTGGTGGAGTCGCAGCCTTACAATCTGAACAGATTGTTACATTGCAGGCGAATGCTCCCGCTGAAGAAAGTTACCGAATGTTACGAATGTTGCGCGACGAATTCTCGGCTCACCTTCCTCACCGCCTGTAATGCTCGCTTTTGAACGTTACATTACAAGAGCGTGTTCGCGGTGAAGGAGCGCCATTATAAAAAAGTTAAAATTTATTAAAAAAAAATTTCGTATGTTGTCATAGATTGTTAACACTAAAAATACATACATTAAATATTGGTTCTGTTTCATAATTTTACTTATTCGTAGAAAAAGTGTTGTATGCAATCATTATATATAATTAGGTCTTAAAATCTCGTACCTGTTACTTAGGCCACGAGGTAAAGGGACTCTAACATAGATACACTCTAAGAACTCTCATTATGCAACGATTGCCTGTAATACTATTAGCTGATTCATATGTGGCTCTTTTGTCACGATGTTTTTCCTCACTGAAAAGCTCATGGTAAGTTTCAAACAAAATTTCGCACATAATGCTACAAACTTAGAGATGCGAGGCCGGAGTCGAACCCACGGTAACTCCTCGTGGGAGGCGGTAGGCTAAACCATTAGGCTACCACGGCTTTTACTAAAGAGATAAAATAATGCGCTTAAGGTCAGCGAGTACAGTTTTAATATGGTTTTCGTGTTTATGTCGAATACATATAGGTAGGTACAGCTTTCATAACAGTCACAGGACAATAGAGCGTGGTAGGAAATGTACTGCTTTTAAAAAGCGGACGTTTAATTTAAGAGATATTAATAAGATTGTAAATAGTTATGAGTGATATCAAAACTTAAGTATCAAAGGTCAAGGGAATACATTTAAAGATATGATCAAACTACAGACAAAATTGTTTGGCTCTGCTTGAAATGTTTTAGTCGGCCAATTAAATTTGATGTTATTTTGATTTCTTAAATTGTATACGTCGAGCTGAATAATAGGAACATTATAATCGAAGCTTTTTACAATTATAATTTATATACACACAATATCTTTTTCTTTAACACTTAGGGACGTGACCTCAAATAATATGGATATCGAACTGTATAAGTTAAAAAAAAAACCTTTTTGCTAGTAGGTATATTTTATTCATTTTTAGTGTACAATTGTTTGACAGTAAAAAAAGTAAAACACGTCATTAGAAATATCTTCTCAGCTAACTTAAGGGGATGTTATATAAAAAGGTGGCGGTAATAGCACAAATTTATAATGTAAATAGAATGTAACATACTCTTTACACGGAGATTGTAACTTTGGTGCGTATGACAAATAAATTAGAAAAAAAAAAACAAATTTGAAGATCAACTCTGACTGCATTTCACTTTGCCGTGAGAGTCAGAATGGCGGGTGTACCTTAACGGGTCCTGACAAATTTGGTATCAAAAAAATTTACCTAAATTGTACTATTTAGTACCTCTGTTTAAAAAAATTTTACCTCCATCAGAACGAAGTTATAGTAATATCAAAGGTACAGTCAATATGGCGGGTGTACTTCAGATTACCAGTTTGTATATAATAACTATAAAAACTTATTATTAAAAAATTTGTTCGTTAATATTACTCTAAAGTAAAAGAAACTCCTGCTTGATCTGCTGGTTAGTTTCTGACATATAAAGCTAAAATTGTGCGATTACAGAGTGTCGTGTGCATCTTAACGAATCCTGACAAATTTAGTACCAAAAAAATTTACATAAATTGTACTATTTAGCACCTATTCTTAAAAAAATTTTACCTCTATCTGAAAAAATTGTCGTAAACTAGGAAAGATACTGACATATGTATTATATTCTATTCTATTCTATAAGGCTGTGTAGAGGAATCATTGCTTACTCAAATAAATGGCGGAAAATTAATAAATTGTACATTTTTTTAAGAATAGGTGCTAAATAGTACAATTTATGTACATTTTTTTGGTACTAAATTTGTCAGGATTCGTTAAGATGCACACGATACTCTGAAATCGCACAATTTTAGGTCTATAATTGGAGTTTCTTTTACTTTAGCGTACTATTAAGGTACAAATTTTTGGAATAATAAGTTTTTATAGTAGTTAATTAAAAACAGTAATATGAGGTACACCCGCCATATTACTGTCAATACAGCGGGTGTACCTTTGATATTGCTATAACTTCGTTTTGATCGAGGTGCAAATTTTTTAAACAGAGGTACTAAATAGTACAATTTAGATACATTTTTCGATACCAAATTTGTTAGGATCTGATAAGGTATACCTGCTATTCTGACTCATTGTTTTACCCGGCGTTTGATTTATTTTTTGTGACTAGCAACGCGTAGGACGGAAGCGTTGCAGTTTCTGGTACAATATTTTTCATCTTCTGATAAGGAAATCTATCCGTAGTCTATCCGTCCAGCCTGGAAGAACGCTACGCTCCTTTTAATCGGTTACAGTTGAAATCATATCCGCACCATATTAATTTGCTTCCATATATGTGTAAGACTGCATCATTAAGTTAGACGGTATACCAAACACATGAACATTTTTTTCACCCTGCCAAAAACAAAATATACTTCAAATTGTACACAGTGGCGTGGGGGGTGCAGAGGGGGTCGTGGCCTCAGGTGGCACAGCACTGGGGGCGCGGGCGAGCCCTAACAATTATTTTTTCTTTACTTAAAATTAATTCCACTATTTGAGAAAACGACATCCTGAACAATACAAAGGTGGCGACGGCAGGCTAATACAAAAACACAATCGAGCCGAGCGAGAACGAACTACTTTTGTAATCCTGAAAATAGAGAGGGCAACAAATTTAAGTTGTTGTCGTTGGCACGGGGGCGGCAGAAATCAACGCTTCGCCACTGAGTGTACATCCATATAGCAAGTGAAAATGTGCTTATATGGTAAAGATTCGTTAACACAGAACAAATGACTTCGCTACAAAATGCTTACCAGTTTATTTCTAACATTTTACAGATCGTGGTTAAGAAATTGATAGAAATATAAAAATAAGTCTGATAATAATAATAGTAACTTATACTCCGTCCAATCATATAGTTAACTTAGGACAGATCGTGATGACCCAATGCATTTCCGATTCGATTTTTTATAACAATCGATTTTATTTATGAAGTTTTAATCGTGAATGTGAGCGTGATGTTGCGTTTGGCAATTTGTGTAGTCGAGAATTAATAATTAATGTTAATAAGGATTCAAGGGATGATTCACGTTGATATGGAGAACAGTCCGACAATTCATTATAATAAATAGTAAGAATTTATTATAATTAATTTAATTTCATTATAATTTATTAGACAGGTACTAAAATTTATCAACTTGAACAATCTTCGTTACATAATCTGTTGGCTCGATAAATATCGGAGCTAAAGAGCACGCCGCTTCACTAAAATTAAAAAATAAAAGAGTCCAGGAATTTGAATTTGAAACATTTTTTGTCTTTGATTGTATAGAATAGAATAGAATAGAATAGAATAGAATAGAATAGAATCGTTTATTTCATGTTATCAATGTCACAATATTACAATTGGAAATACAATGTCAAGGGATAACTATGATCGTCAGTAATAAAATTATAATAATAATAATGAATATAAAATAAAGTAGTATAACTACTGCTTGTCGAATAAAATAAAATTAAAATTGTTTCAAAAGAAACTCATCGACACTGTACAATTCAATATCCAATAAAAGGTTTTTTAGTCGGGTACAAAACGTTGCATCGTTTCTAACACTTTTCAGGTCTGTGGGTAGATGTTCGTAGAATCGGGGACCTATTACCCGCGGATTTCTAGTTGCAAGTTCGGTACGGTGGGCAACGGATTTTAGTGTTCCCGCGTTTCGTAACGCTCGGCCTCCGCCCGTACGTCGCTCATAAGTAGCCAAGTTTTGACGCGCATAAACTATTATATCATAAATATATTGTGAGTACATGGTCATTATATTGTATTTCTTAAAAAGGTTTCTGCAGGTCTGACCCTTTTTTATGCCTACTATTGTTCTTAGTGCACGTTTTTGAAGAATAAATACCCTACCCTATATCAATAATTACGGAACTTCCGAAGCATGCATATGTCAAAAGTTAAATAAATGCTTAGACGGAGTACACTTACTCATACTCACCCCATAAATATTGCGTTGAGGGTAGATAGCAGGAGCAAGAGGCCAACAAGTGCTACCACAGCGTAGTAAAACAAATGGTACGGCGGCGGCAGCTCGTAGAAATGTCTCTGGCGCACAACAGCAGCGGTGACGGAGCGCGTTACATATTCCATTGTCATTTATTTTTCAATTTCACTGCATAGTATGTTCGAGGGAATGTTGTTTCGACTAATGTGAATGAAGATTACCCAATTTCGTTTTGATCAACACGGCGACCGTCACTGCATAAGACACGATCTAATGTGTATTACTAATAAATAGGAAATCACAAGGATCACACTAATCCATTGTGCCAGCAAATTCCCTCGTTCCTCTTTTAGCATGGGATACAAATATTCTGTCTTGATTTTATTGGTAAAGATGAATCAACTAGATTTATGTCAAACATCTGATCAATATCTTTTCTGTTCTGTACTACCTCAATAACATTACAATTCATGAAAATAGTTTTGTCACAGAACGGGAACCTGTTAATTACGTGCGTTGAAGGATGATAGCTAAATAGTTTTAAAAACTAGTTTAAAAAAACTGTTTTGAAATTTGAATTCATGGCAACGAAACAATGTATGAGTGTCCTACATTTTAAGCGCACCAACGTTGTCACATTGACAAAAAGAGGTATAGGTTAGCGATGGAACGAGTTGTATTTTTTTCAACACGAGTTACTCGAGTTGAAGTGAGTGCTAACTCGACTCGGTGTATGACAGCTACCGCGAGTCGCGAGTACGACTCGAACCGACACGGTTCACCGTGTTGGACACGACCGGCGGCGTGCCGAGTAGTGCCGACGACCGCGACTCGAGCGTGCTCCGAAGGTCGCCGAACCGACCGACTGAGAACGAATTGTCGACGCGCTGTATGAGTGAAGTATCCGACTTGGCGGGAACCGAACCGAGCTAGCTAGAGTTGACTCGTTGTGGGAGTAACTCGAGTTGAATAACTCGACTCGCCCATCGCTTGCGACTAGAGCGTGCTCCGAAGATCATCGAATCGACCGAGTGGGCTCGGCGGCGCACAGTGGAACTAAATTGATATTTTTTGGACACAGGAATAACTTATGGAGTATCGAGCAAATTTTTAATTAATTTAATAAGAATAAAAGTTATCAGGAGTGTTATTATTTATCATATGAAAAAAAAAACAGCTCCGTATTCCTAAAATTGTTCCCATGATTAAATAATAATTGATATTTTTTGGACATAGGAATAACTTGTGGAATACTGAGCTATTTTTTTTTATGTGATAGATAATATACATTTCTAACAACTTTTATTCTTGTATAATTTCTTGAAAAGTTGATAGTTTCAGAGAAAAAAATAAGTATTTTTTTTGTATGGAGAAATATACATTTTATTTTTTATCTCTTAATGTAGGAAAATGTAATGTGCGTGGGGTACTTACAGTATAGTTCCAGTCATTTTGTATGTAGAAAAAAATAATAAGTCGGCATGTACTTGCGGCTAAAGTAAAGGTGCAGCAAAATTGCTAACTCTTTTATGTACTTTTTTAACAAAATACTTGAGCTTCAACTAACGAAAAATTAATTTTCGTGTAATTTAGAGCGTGTTAATAACACGAAAGTTAAGTAGAAACTAGTATTATTGTGTTAAAAAATAAATAACTAATTTAAAATTTTGACACCTTTTTACTCGTAAAGCCGCAAGTTAGTACTTGCGGCTCCATACAACTTTTAATTTTTAGTTTTTTTGTTTGGAGAAATAACCATCTTATGTTTTATCTCGAAATGTAGGAAAATGTAATGTGTGTGGGTTATTTTGAATATAGGTCCAATCATTCTCTATCAAGAAAAAAATAATCCATCTGCAGGTGCTTGAGGCTATACGAGTAAAAAGGTGTCAAAATTTTACATTTTTATTTATTTTTTTAACACAATATACCAGTTTCTACTTAACTTTCTTATTATTGTTATAACACTCTCTAAATTATGCTAAAATGAATTTTTATTTTGGTCGAAGTTCATGTATTTTGTTAAAAAAGTACATAAAAGAGTTAGCAATTTTGCCGCACCTTTACTTACAAAGCCGCAAGTACATGCAGATGGATTATTTTTTTCTACATAGAAAATGATTGGAACTATATTGTAAGCAACCAACGCACTTTACATTTTCGTATATTTTGAGATAAAAAATTAAATGTATATTTCTCCACACAAAAAAAAAATTTTTCTCCGAAACTATCAACTTTTCAAGAAATTACATGAGAATAAAAGTTGTTAGGAATGTTATTATCTATCATATAAAAAAAATTAGCTCGATACTCCACAAGTTATTCCTATGTCCAAGAATTATCAATTTGGGCCTACTGTGCGGCGGGGGGGTACCGAACCGAGGTAGCTCGAGTTCTTAAAAAAGTAACTCGAGTTGACTCGTTGTGGGAGTAAATCGAGTTAAATAACTCGACTCGCCCATCACTAGTATAGGTACCTGTGATAAATTGTTAAATTTATTCCGTCAGGGAGATTTTAGTCTATTGCCTGCGCCGGCGACGCTTTGCTAATGCTGGCCTTGACATCACTATAGTACGTGGTGTACTTTTCATAAACCTAAAGTCAACAATTTTATTAATACTTTAAGTAAGTACCACAAGGGTTCCGAGGAGCATGTGCTGAATAGTTCAAGAAATAAAATATAACTTAAGTCATGATGATGTATGCGTTCGTTTCCCAAAAGTCCTTGTATTCGCCGAATTTTATTCAGCCTGAAGATTTGAGCTGCTAGTTCGATAAACTCGTGTTGGCAATGGGTGTACACCACTGCTGAGGTATTCAATAACCCCAGCCAAATTTCTGGGCCGTAAATAAATAGTTGTTGGTAAATGCCCTTTGATGCAACTTACCTTTTGTAAAAGCCTCTGATAATCAAAAGAAAAACGAACAGTATAGCAGATCCAACCATCAGATAATAGATTTGGGTGTAGACATTCAGTTCCCGCGCGCGTTTTGGATGGGTTTTATAATAGATTGAGCGTTTCAAACGGTAAAGTTTCGTAGGCTTTTTCGAGGGAAATATATATTCTTTGTACTGAATAGAAAATAGCCCGGTCCCTGGTGTTGCTGGTGATGCTGGTGTTGCTGGTGATGCTGGTGTGTTGGTGGAAACTGAAAATAAATAAATTTATATATAGAAAATTTTATCTCTGCACGATAAAACATCAAAAACACGACTTCGGAGCGGTTGGAAAACCGAGTCATACTGGTCAAGACAGTATGTTATTAATACTGTTGATCTCCCGTGCGGACAAGAATTTAGGCTATAGTGAACAAGTGAACTTGAGAGATAATTTTAAAATTTTGCAATAAAGACGCCTTGTTTGTACGTCGCTTGCTTGTTGATCGTTTTGCTTTTAGAACCCCTTGAAAATATAATATAGATTTTTACATGAGAAATATCTGAAACGACCATCCAGTCCGCGTTGTGGACGTGATTTGGGCTGTAGCGTGTATGGTATTCGGGCGTTTTATGTTTGAGATAAACGTGAAAGACGCGAAAGCGGGTCAAAAGAATCTGTTAACTTGAAGAAGTGGACTGAATTATAGCAATACCTTGGTTAGTATCCTTCTGGCTTCATGTACATAATGTATAGGGAGCGTAGCACGACGGCAGTGACTACGATGGCACCTGCCCACGCCACCCAGTTAGTTAGGTCGATATCACCATGGATTCCTGAATTTTTTATTCCGGTAGAAGTAAAGTGTCCTTCTCTTTTGTTTACATTTACTTGGTACACTATTTGCGACCTAAAGAACTTAAGTTTGTCAACTGAACAACAAGAAAATGCAACGTACAATTAGTCGTCATTGTATTATTTATAACTTTATTGTTTTACAGTTAAATAATTTCTGAACAAATTAAAAAGGCAATAAGACAAGTAATTATATATGCGTAAAAGATAGGTCGTCTGATGCGTAGTGTGTTGTAAACTAACATCTTAAGTAATGCGTTGGGTTGGTCATTCAAACAGTTACATTGTTCTACATTCAAAGACATTATAATAACAAATCTGCTTCTTCAATTTAACTATGAATATATACTTTCGGACACATAATTTGAGCCACCTCGCATTTTTGTCTTAAAGGGCTAGAATACAAAAGTAGTGTTATCGTCGAAGAAGAAATTTTCCCCCGGTTTAGCAAATCCAAATTTCCAACAAGGATTTATGGAAAGACGTTTAGTATACTGGTTCCAAAATAGTTTAATAATTTATGATCAATAAAATATTAGGAAGTGAAATTATTTTTCCGGATTTAAATCGCGTATATTTGTTTTTTCAAACAAACCGACGTTTCGGGCCCTTTACAGGTCCCATGGTCACGGTTGACTGAGGTGGTAAAGTCTTCAACCAGTTATGTCTAATATTGATGCAAACCACCCTATTTTTTCACTATAGTTACAATAGTTATTAATTAAATACCTTATTTTTAATTTTACAAAGAAAACACTCCAATTTACGCTATGTTAAGTTTTACAAATTATTTTATTGAATGAACTTTTATTAAGTTCAATTTATTATTAATTATTAATAGAAATTAGAATAAACTAAAACATATTAATTAGTACTGCAGTCTTATGTCTATTTGGGATTTTTCATTAGAGGAAATACTGGATCCCAAACTGGTGGTACGGAGAAACCATCTTCCCTGTTGAAATTAGGATTTAAATCCGGAAAAATAGTTTCATTTCCTATGTGTAACAATCGCGAAAACCTAAGAACTCGATACAATAAAATATTGTTGTGAAAATGGAGGTGGATCGAATTATGTGTCCGCGAGTGTATATACTCTTTGAAATAATTGGTGTTTACAAATATAATTTTAAACTCAGAAAAAGATAAGAATACATAGTCCACTGCTGGACACGGCCTCCTCTAAGGAGACAGTTCAGATTAAGAACGTCTCACGTTTTACAAGAGATGTGTTCTTACTTCGGTGTGTTGATTTCACCACAATGTCTTCCTTCATGTGTGAGAAAGAGAGGTGTTGGTACTACATTTACATGAATGCACGTAACTTCGAAGTTAAAGCCATAAGTATATGCTAACGCAGGGAATCGAACCGTTGACCTCCCAATTGAGAACGACACATTCTCCCCTTTGGTATCAAGTTAATTCTAACAGTATAAAGTAGGACGAATAATACACGTTTCTTATATGTGTTATTAAATGCGCTTGATTACGTTTTCGGCATATTACTTTCGAACATATAGTTGCACCCTTTATATTAAAGATATATAACCTACAGTTTTTAAGTCGACTTCTCGATTTTAAAAGGTGTGATTGTAAAAGTACCGGTTTGGTCAGTAATGCTGCGTATAAGGCGATTTAGTGGTGATCCGGAGCCAATTAGCCGTCTCTGGTATAGCCTTGGTGCTTTAGAATCCGATGAGGCCATGTTGTCGTCCATTACAAGCCAATATTATATAACCTTCCTTTGACTGTACGTTATAAATATTTCAAGCGGTACTAGTAATTTTACAGTCGTTTTGAAACATTGTGTCCTGGAAACATATTTAATTTAGGCTTAAATATTGTTATTCTTATTTCCTGAATGGTAAATGTTTTTCGCCGATTTGAAAGCTTGTTTGATTGACTGTCATTTGATTATATAAAATTTTGTGATTTTATGACGAGAAGAAAAAGTTTCGTTTTATTGAAGAGAGTCAGAATGAAAATATTCATGGAGTTTTTATTCAACACTTTCTTTGTCTTTGTTATACTTTCGAAGACAGAATCTTATTCAATCCAAGTGCTTCTTCTCATTGCTGGGTATAGGTCTCCCGAAGTTTGTGCCACGATCCTGTGCTAATCACTTATAGAAGTGTAAATAATTATAAATATAAAAATAAACATTATATAAATATTAGTCTATATTATATTAGACTTAGTCTATAGACTTAGTCTATATATTTATATAACAGTTGTGTTATGAAAGTCGGAAACAACGAAGGTACTGCAAACATCCAGACCCCGAGGCAATATAGAAAAGATTACTTTTCTACATCGACCAGACCGGGGATCGCACCCGGCACCTCAGAGATGGCGACACTATGAAAACCGGTGTGCTAGCTACTCGACCACGTGGGGCGTCGAACTCCCATTAATCGTAAATAGAAGAAATTCTTCTATTTTTGTACCCCCCACGTAAGTTGTAGTAAGTGAAAATACCATTTTTTGCTTTTGTACTTAAATATATACTTTTTATGCACATTATGGGTTTCATGTTTGAAAGTAACCATAACATTAAGTGATTTCCTTACTTTTAAATATGAAACCTATACTATGCATAAAAAGGATTTAATATTTAAGTTAAAAAGTAAAAAATAGTATTTTGACTTACAACAACTTTCGTGTGAGGTATCGATTTATACTTATCCATCATTGACTTACAATTATATGGATGTCGGGTCCGCGCTAAAAAGTGTCCGAACTTATAGGGCGTTAAAATCGTATACAGAGCGTCATTCACGCTTTAGTCTTCGTTTGTTCGACTGACAGCGAAGCAAGCACAATTAGACAGTACTGCGATGACATTACAATTTAAATTCAACGTTTTAGCTTTTTCATATTCCTTGACATGTCACTACGTTTAAATAGGTTGACTTGGGACATTTTTTTCGTGGTTTTTGTATTAGAGCCGTCGTCCATTTATTTTTAAGTCAATGTTATCCATCTAAATTTATTTTAGAAAATAATTATAAAAAACAAATTCAGAAAACAAAATTAGTAACAGCAGAGTTCTTTGTGAAAAAGAAGTTCGTCCAGGGAAGTATTGCCATCTTACCAGTTTCTGCCGCCAAGCGGTAATGCGTCACTGCGTTCCGGGTTTGAAGGACAAGGAAGCAGGTGAAATTACAGGCAAACGGGACTTCTCAACTTACGTTTCGTGGTGACGGGCGCAATGGCGATGCCCCTCAGATTTTTGCGATTAAAGCTCTGAGTAACACAGCAATTGCTATGGACTGGTGTGTCGCATACCATTACAGGTACATGGGACTTGTCAACTTATGTCTCGGGGTGACGGGCGCAGTGACAGTTCCCCTCAGTTCAGGCGTGTCGCTTAACAGGCGCACGAGTTGTTCGTTCTTTCTCTTGGTATCATAAAAAAACGGTATATAGAAAACTTAGAGCTAATGTGGTCAAAGGCGGTCATCAGAGGAAAACTAAACAGACGGAGACGTACTGTACCTATGGTACAAAAAATTAAATACAATATAATTTCAAATTTAATACAACAGTGTATTAAATAAATAATATTTATTAAAAAAAAGGAACCGATTTCAAACTTTGCTTGTACGTATACATATAAACTGAAACTAGAATGTTAACAATCGATTACCTACCGGTAATTGCGCGAAACCGAATTCATCTCCTAGTTTGCGACCTTTACAGGTGGATTATTTTCTTCATATATAAATGGGACCAATACTGAATAACCCTCTTTCCAACAAAAAAAGAATCATCAAAATCGGTTAACAAAATTTCGCCGGAGTTATCGATAACGTACACGCAAAATAAAACAGCACTGAGATCCTCCTCATTTTTTCAGAATCGATAAAAAACGAATTACGTTCTCACTTCCCGTGAAAGATCATTAAAATTTACCGATAGGTTAATGTTTACTACAGACATCTAAACAATTTCCTACTTGGGAAAAATATATTTAGAAATAAGAGGGAAAAAATAATTTCATATATTATATATAATTTCATAATTTCATTTCTTTTGAGTGGACTGTTTTGTCTAGAACTAGCTCACAGAAAGTGTGTCTATAGAAATAGAAATTATTTATTTCTTTAAGAAAAAACAACACAGTGCACGTGCATTTTATAATAAGAATAACATAACAATTTTGACAAAGGACTAAATTATAAATAATAAAAAAGTATAAAGCGTGTGCTGCTAAGGAATACGTGACCCACTCAACTTCTTGTCATCACACCTAAAGTGCTCCGACGCTGATTTTCAGGTGATCCGGCAACAGTCGTCACAGATTTACAACAAAAACATTGCATGAAACGAGTTCAGTCATATTACTATAGACACAAACATGATCGCATAGACTCTTCCATTCAAATACAATTATTGATAAAGTTAAAAGACATGTACATAGCACTTTTATGCATGACTTAAAACGTATATATTATTGCATAATTAATTCTATATAACTTGCATAAACATTTAAATTGTAAATAACATTACAATTTGAAATAATTGTGAACATAACAGCAAATAACAATATTGTGAATATTTCATCATGTCACTTAGTATTAAAACTTAAAAATAAAGATTCGGATGGTTAATACTCGTAATTTCATAAAATTTAATTAAATAAAATAAACAATTAACAAAATGTAAACACACAAACAAAAAAACAAAAACACATGAACAGCTACATTAGAGATTGTTGAACATTCAGCAAGTACGCCTTGAGTAATTTTTTTAAAAGTAAGAATTGACAATATTCTATCGACGGTTTTATTGAAGTTTACAGAATTAAATTCTACGTTCAACGATGGTATAATCTTCACTTTCACATATTTTGAGTTACAACACTATTGTACAGCAGTGCGATATATATTGGTATATACGAGTACATGCTTAGCAGTTGGGTAGTATATAATACTTTCCCATATTTATACTGATTGTTTATTTGTAATTCATATTTTCACCTCAGCAGCTCGAACAAGGCTATTTTGCTGTGTGAAATCAGTGAGCAAAATCTTATTTTGCTCACTCCGTGAGAAAAAGTAGCTTTTTGCTTTTTAAGTGGAGACTTGTCATTTAATGCGAAGGGGTCTAATACAAATTCGACATATTTCAAAATCAGTCGCTCCGTCCCTTTCACTTCATTACAAGAAAAAGGAAAAAGAAAATTATGGTTTATTCGTACTTCGATATTTAAGCTACATAGTAGACCCCCACAAAATGGCTGAACGAGTGCACGTTCGGAAACTCGTCAATTCATCTAAAAGATAAATTATGTGAGAAATACAAATACGATTTTATACTATGATAATTTAGTTTTTACAATTTTCATTAAAAATAAAGCAAGGGTTGCAATAAAAATATGCTAAATTTATAACGTCAATTAAAGATAACAATATTTACAATGTGTGATTTCAATGAATACAAGCGAGAACGTTCCGGAACGCAATAAATAAAAGCGCGCTTTCTTTTTTTTTAATTCAAAATTTCTTATTTGCTTGCGATAGGTACTTCTTTGATAGTTAATTGGATACCTACCTACGTAATAAAATAGAAAATATGAGCGATTCCAGTGAAGACGACAATTTTTTAACTCCTCCAGAGTTAGTTGAAACTGTTAAAAATGCTGAACTAAGTTTCTTGCCTAGTAAATCTCGTGAAAAGTACCTGAAAGTCTACGAACATTTTGACAAATGGAGGCACGAAAAGGGCGCAGGAAACACTATGTCGGAAACTGTGCTTCTGTCTTATTTCATTGAAATGTCGCATACAAAACAGCCGTCAACGATGTGGAGTATATATTCGATGTTGAAAGCTACATTACAAACTAAAAATAACGTCCATATAAACACTTACGCAAAGCTGATTGCGTTTTTGAAAAGATCGGCCGTCGGCCACAAATCAAAAAAATCGAAAGTTTTCACGGCTGCTAATATTGAAAAATTTCTTAATGAAGCACCAGATTGCACTTTCCTAGCCGCAAAAGTAAGTATTGAATATTATTACTGTTGTCGTAGCGTTATATTTTAATTGTTAATACAATTTGGACTTTGGTAGTTATGTTATCAATTTCTATCAACATAATTATACTTACCTACTTAAATGTGTTGTTTTGGCGACTTGTATTGGAACTTTATGGTTAAAAATAATGCTACATATTATGAGAAATCCACGTTTAAGACTGCTCTAAAAGACACAATACTTATTGACGTTTTATTTATGTTTCAGGTCATCCTTATCATTGGAATAAACGGAGCATGCCGCTCCAACGAGTTATTGAATCTAACTCCTAATGCCATTGAACAACATTCCAGCGACCTTCTTTTGATTAACCTGCCAAATACGAAAACAAATATAGACAGGTCGTTCGTCGTCCGTGAGGAATACGCACACGTTGTCCAGAAATATAAAGCATTGCGCCCTCCCAATACGATCACAGACCGCTTTTTCATACAATATCGTAATGGAAAATGTACGCGGCAATCGATGGGTATTAATAAAATAGGAGCGACTGCACGAGAAATCGCAACATTTTTAGATTTGAAAGAGCCGCAGCTATACACTGGCCACTGCTTCAGGCGAACATCAGCCACTCTTTTGGCAGATGGAGGAGCTGACCTCACAACGTTGAAGCGCCATGGCGGTTGGAGATCAAATACAGTGGCTGAAGGATATATCGAAGATTCAATAGAAAATAAATCAAAAATCTGTAAGCGTATTATAGATTCGATAAACCTAAAACAGACTTCGCATTCTTGGGCACAACCTAGCACCTCCAGTGATGCGAATCATACCCAAACCCGCCCAGAATCACCAACTTTTACGGTGC